GTGGTTCTGGGTGATGTCCGTTCCGTCTTTTAGTTGTATTTTTGAAGTGGTTGTTTGCGGCAGCAGTCTGCGGTGTTTACCTATGCCGCCATCTTGGTCTCTCCTTTCTTTAGTCTTAAGGATATACAGAAAACAACCTCTAGCTATAAGTCATTTCGTTTCTATTATTGTGCTGCTTTTAAATGACACAGACTTTCTTGTGTTGAGTATATAATCTTTTTGGGTTGAAGTTCCCAATGGAGAGGGAGTACAAGAAAATCAAGGCTGCAAACTATTCTCAAAGCCCCAATATTTCTGCCATGAAATTACAATCTAATAACTATCCCCTGAAATTCCAAAGAATAGTACTATGGGCCCATTTAATGGTTTTGTTTTTTTGGTATCCTGTTAAGGTTGATTTCCAGATAGCCCCCAAGATAAGAATTTGCAGCGTTGATGTGTGGTTAATTTGACGGTGGGTCTATCCGGGCAGGACAAATATGGGTCTAGTTGGGGGCATGAAATGTGTGTCTCTTGCTATGACAATTGTAAGAGGAGATGGGGTTTAGCTTTGGATGGTCCTCAAGTTACCTCTGGGCTCAGCCACCCTCTAGCTCTGAGTTCACTCTAAACTTTCTCATCTGTTTGTTAAATTTAAATTTCAAAAGCCCTAGTCTCGTTCTTGTAATCCAGTTTTGCCTCAAAGCTACTTGGAACCAAGAACAAAATGAAGAGCCATGGCTTCTTCAGAAGCATCTATTTCTCCCTCCAAGTTTATATATTTAATGGCAACAATAGATGGAGATGGTAAGAGCTTGAGAATATAGCAAGTCCTGGTAGCTGCTTCAAGTACCCACCTGGCTCCACACACACTCATCCCCATATCACAGACCATATTCCCGATGCTGTAATCCACATCCCTGTGGTTATTCTGTAACTACTACTCTGTACTGCTTAATTCCTTCATCTTTTCACCCATAGAAGGAATGTATACATTAAATATGTGCAGCTTTTTTGCATGTCAATCATACTTCAATTTGCAAAAAAAAGAACACAACATTTAAAAAAGACAAAGAAAAACAATAAGGAGATAATGTATATGAAGACTTTAACAGCTTAAGGGATATAGTAAGCTCTTAACAAACTGTAGTCTTCTTTTTTTTTTAAGCCAAACCTCAGTCTTTTTTTAAAATATATTTTTATTGATTTCAGAGAAGAAGGGAGAGGGAGAGAGAGATAGAAACATCAATGATGAGAGAGAATCATTGATTGGCTGCCTCCTGCACACCCCCAACGGGGGGGCCCCTGACCGAAATCGAACCCGGGACCCTTCAGTCCGCAGTCTGACGCTCTATCCACTGAGCCAAACCAGGTAGGGCAAACTGTAGTCTTTTTTATCATTATCATCTCACGATGAGCTTCATTAGGGCAGGGATCATATGGCATTGCTCAGGACCTGGCTCAGTGATAAAATAGCCGATACGTGCTGAGTGATTTCTATGAACCAGGCCCTGAGTTCAACCACAACCTTCAAGGTAAGTACTGTTATTACCCCCATATTACAGATGAGGACACTGAAGCACATAGAAATGAGGCAACTTGCCCAAGGACAAAACTAAAATTTGAATTCAAAGCAATCTGACTCCAGAGCCCACGTTCTTAAAACTATACTGTGCTGCCTCAGTCAATGTATGCCTTAATAAACTGTTGCTGAGCTCGGTCACGGTGGCTCAGTAGTTGAGCATCAACCTATGAACCAGGAGGTCTCAGGTTCACAGCTCCATCTCCAGTAGGGGGCATGCAGGAGGCAGCCAATCTATGATTCTCTCTCATCATTGATGTTTCTGTCTCTCTCTCCCTCTCCCTTCCTCTATCAGAAGTCAATTAAAAAATAAAAAATAAACTGTTGCTGAGTGAAAAAATTAATGGATTGTAGATTTCTGAAAATGCAATTTCTGGGTCTCAGAACATACACATATTGCAATGTAAGTTATTCATTATAATTTTAAGTTTTTTAAAAAGCAGTATAAAATTTTTAAATAATATTATCACAATATGGACACAAAGGTGCACAGAAGAAATATTGGAAAAAAAAAAACACCACATCAAAATGTTAGGAGTGGCCATTGTTGATGAATACATTCAGGGGCAGCTTTTTTTTTTTTTAATCCATCTTTTTCCAAAATTTTTTTAATGAGCTGTTATTCTGCACAGACTGACTAACCATAGCCTTATTTTTGTGTTATATGTGCTTTACTGCTTTATTGTTCGTTCTGTCCTTAGACGCAAACCTTTCTAAGAGAAGAGAATTTTCATGATTATATTGGGATTTTTGTGCTCTGTCTATCTTAAAAAGAAAATTAGAATCACAGGTAATTTGATCTCTTAACATTATTGGAGTGACCCATTTGATGTAACTCCTGGCGCTAACAAGCAGTGTTGTGGCTTTCCTTTTCTGGTAGTTCCTGTCTGCAGACAAGAGAACTGTTGTACTCATACATCCATTTGGAAAACACATTTTATTGACTTGGGGTTTGGCAAAGGCTTTATCAAGCTGTTTCTCAAATAATCCTGTGAGGCTGTAATAAAGCCCTCGAAGCCTTGAATCCACATACACAAGCCTACATGAATGCAAAGGGGCAGGATACTAATCCAACATACAACCCTATGTTTTTTGCCCTGTACTTCCTGATACTCCAGACCTTTCCCTGGTTTTAGCAGCAGCAGGGGCGTTCTACACTTACAGCCTCAGAGAAAGGACAACGGAACAGAACAAAGCCATCAACTTTTGGCGTATGACTTGAAAGGCTAGGCCTAGAGGAGACCAGGCCTAAAGGAAGAGCAAAGCTGCACCACATCTTCCCCCACATCTTCCATAGGCTGTGAAGGAAGGACGGTGAACAAGAGAGTTTAGATGTTAACACAGGGGGTTCCTAGATAATGTGGCTCTGTACCCCCCAAATCTCAGAGAGGTCTGGAGGGAAGAGTTCAGGAGGCCCACCAACCTGCCATTGTCGAACACCTTATATGAGAAAAATAGAACCCACTTCGTTCGACCTGGTGGGAATCCCACCCCATTCCAATCACCAGGCCAGAATTATCAATGTGAGCTAAAATATTCATGGAGAGCAAGTAGGCTCTAGTAAGGTGTGCTCTTCAGCAGGCAATCTTTCCCCTTGTTCCAAAATGAAGAATTTTTTTTTTCCCTTGCCAGTTCCCTATGCAGAGCAGTTCCACCTTTCTGTCCTCCTCCCTTCCCCCAATGAATGTGACCTTCCTTATAGAATACTAGAGGCCCAGCACACAAAATTCGTGCACTGGTAGGGTTCCTAGCGGCTGCCAGCTGCGGCTGGGGCCTCTCTCCCTTCCCCAGGCTGGCCAGCCCCCTGGTCTAACTCCCAGAAGAACTCCAGTGGAGGGGACAATTTGCATACTAAGCTTTTATTATATGGGATAATTACCGCCCTGGCCGGTTTGGCTCAGTGGATAGAGCATAGGCCTGCAGACCAAAGGGTCCTGCTTTGATTCTGGTCAAAGGCGGGGCTCGTGAGGGAGGTAACTAATCGATTTCTCTCTGTCTTGCCCTTTCTCTTCCACTCTCTAAAAATCAGTGGAAAAATACCCTATGGTGAGGATTAAAAAAAAGAATATAATTACCCATGTTGTCTGTCGAACTGGATTTCTTTTGTTTTAAACATCAGCCAATTTTCACAACTCTGCAATTATGGCAATAGAGGGTAAGCAACCATTTTTGTCAGCTTGACTTTTTAAAAAAATATATTTTATTGATTTTTTACAGAGAGGAAGGGAAAGGAATAGAGAGTTAGAAACATCAATGAGACAGAAACATCGACCACCTGCCTCCTGCACACCTCCCACTGGGGATGTGCCCGCAACCAAGGTACATGCCCTTGACTGGAATCGAACCCGAGACCTTTCAGTCCACAGGCCCACGCTCTATCCACTGAGCCAAAACAGTCACGGCCGTCAGCTTGACTTTTAAACTGACCACTTCACCAAAAGACTTCGCCAGGATTGGGTTTTGCCGGGTAGGCCAAGGTAACTGCGAAAAAATTAATGGCTGAACAACCTTTTCTTTCAAGGTGGAGTTTGAGTAGAGAACAATGTGCAGTAATTTAAAGCTGTGTTCACAAACACAATTCTACACAAGTATAAGGAACTTTGTGGTTTTTTTTCCTTTTGTAAAAAAAAAAAAATGAAAATGGTTGCTTAAACAAGTGGTTATCCGTTATGGTGTTGACATAGGAAAAGGTGAAATGCTGGCAACCGAATAAAAGCAACAGTGCAACAGGCAGCTCAGTGGCATGCCTGGGATGTTCCTTGGATGGACAGACTTGCTTTTCACTTCCTCCCAATTCTGGTCCCGCCCTCTTAGTGTATCTTCCTGAGAATGTTAAAAAAAAAAAAAAGGAAAAAAGAACATATTGGTCTTACTGCAAGCTGTCTTAAGTGTCTGCTGTTCCCTTCTTTTCAACACCATGGGACTGGGTCTGCCTAACTTCTCCATTGTTTGGTGAGTCGCTTTGCTTTCCCGTTGCTGCCTTCCAGCCCTCCGTGGGGGCTGAAAGCTTCCTAGCGGGGGGTCAGTCGAGCACCAGACTCCCAGGGAGCACGCCTCCCGCCGGCCGCAAGCAG